GTATTCATGTCATTTGGATAATATTTTTTATTTAAGAGTAAATGGTTTTGGAGAATTAATTATGGATAAATATTTCTTGAAATATGAAATCTATATGGATAAGTATTTGTAAACTGTTTTGGGGAAGTTGAAATGTTGAAAGTTAAATTGTGGAGAATGTTGCTTCTTCTTTAGGGAGATGTGAGTAAATAAAGTTATAGTTATTGATGTTGAGTCTCAAAGGTTGTTCTGAATGATGAATGTGATTTTAAACTTGAAAATTGTATTTTGAGAACTAAATGGATTTTTGAATCTATAATTTAAGTATCAAATCTATTTTCTTCAAATTATATTATTTTACGGGGTCAGGTGGATCTTACTTAGCTAAAAAACTAATTTTTGCTTCTTTGTCTTTGTTTTGTTTTCCGCACTTTATTTGGTGCAGGTAATGAGGATTATGCTTGTTGCTGAGAGCTGTGTTAGATCACGTAGTTTTATTAGTTATTAGTCACCCAGTTAATATTTATTTCAGTTTTGAGACATGTAGACAATTAAATTGTTTTTGAGATTTCAACACTTAATTGCTTAGGTTATTTTTGGATTGTGGTTTAGCCTGTGCATTCAGTTGTATGAGAACCGAATGTGGCGGTAACACCCATGGAATATTTTGTTTCTGCTGCAATTTAAAATCTTTTGACTTGAATATTTTGGAAAAACTATCTTTATACTTGTTGTTTTAGCACATATTTTGGGGTGAAATTTGGGGGTGTTACACAGTCCGGGTTATAGATTTTAGACCACGTTTATGGGCCCAAATTTTCAAGTTCGGTCTGTTTTTTATTCGGGCCGGTTAAAAAGAAAAAACTCAGACCGCGAACATCATTCGGACCGATCTAGGGTCGGATTTAGGTTCGGATTTTCCACATCTAGTAGTAGATGCTCTGTCACACCAATACATGAGGATGAACTAGACAAGGTACGGGTGTTCTTATAATTACTAGCCTTGACAGTCCTACACTCTTCATTCTTTCAATCTGTCTGGGATGAATGACAAACAAACTCTGAAGGAGCGCAACACTTGATCGAACGCATTAGCAAGGGTGAGGAAGGGTCACAGTGGCCCATTCACGATGGTCTAGTCCATCACAACAATTGACTTTTCCTGCTTTCCAACTATACTTTAATTTTAGTTGTATTGAGAGACATTCACAATACTTCCAATATCAGAAACTAATCTCACCCTCTATTCTTTGACTTTATGTCTTCCATGTGCTTCTTGGAGACTTTTATGAGAAGTTTGGTAAACGTCCACCTCTCTTATTGTAAATATCTTCTTCCAATAAAATTCCATTTAAAAAAAGAGACATTCACGACACTACCAATGAAGGCCTGCAAAAGACACTCTTTCGTGTAACTCGAGAATTTCATTGGAAGGGTATAAACAAGCGTGTTCGTCAATGGGTATAGGGAGGCTTCAATATGTCAAAAGAACAAAACCGAAAACTTGCACCCGAGTGCCTGCTGCAACCCTTGCCGGTCCCTGAGAATATTTGGTCAGATTTTTTATTGGAGTCTGTTGATGGTCCTTCCAAAGGTTGAAAGTAAATATGTGCTTTTGGTGGTTGTTGATCCCCTCTCCAAATATGCACTTTTTATACATTTGGCTCATCCCTAAGTAGCCTTATCCGCTGCATGTGTCTTTTATGTTAATATTGTTAAATGTCTCACACCGGAAAAGTTTGGATGAACAAAGTGCTATATTAACACATGAGCTACTCCTCATATTAGGTTGACCTTTTAGGATGGAACCCCGGGTCTTAACATGGTATCAGATCCAAATCGATCCATGGTGTGGGGCCCCGTATGAAAAATGATGACACGATTATAAAAAACGGCCAGATGCAAAGAAACGGACTGATGAAAAAATGAATGATTGCATGATTCAGACGAAGTGTCTGGTCGTGAGGAGGGGTGCTAAATGTCCCACACCGGAAAAGTTTTGATGAACAAAGTGCTATATTAACACATGAGCTACTCCTCCTATCAGGTTGACCTTAGGTTGACCTTTTAGGATGGAACCCCGTGTGTTAATATAGCACTTTGTTCATCCAAACTTTTTCGGTGTGGGACATTTAACACCCCTTCTCACGATCAGACACTTCGTCTGAATCGTGCAATCATTCATTTTTTTCATCGGTCCATTTTACCCGGTATTCACAAATATTCTCAAGCTTCATGGATATTTGGAGACTATGGTAAGTGATCGAGGCCCTCTATTTACCGTCTCTTTTTTGCGAAGTTGTTCCGCTTTTGTGGTACTTCTCCGGCCTTCTCTTCATCCTACCAGCCACAAAACGGATGGTGAAACGGAAGTGGTCAACCGCACAATTGAAATGTACTTGCAATGTTCGTTTAGTTGGGGATCACTCACGTCGCTGGGTGGAATGGTTGCTTTGGGAAGAATAATGCTCCATTACCTCTTGTGACTCATCTCTAGACACTACTCCATCCAAACTTGTATATAGTTGTTACCCTCCTCCATGTTAACCTATGATCCCGACTCCTCCAAGGTCGAGGTGGTAGACGTAGGGTCACGACAAGATGCTAGATGATGCCTGTCTGTAGTCACCTGCAACCAGGGCCGGTCCTCAGAAAACGGAGGCTCTGTGCAAGAATAAAATTTGGGCCTTCCTTTCTTACGCAAATAAAAATAAAACATAAATAAAAATGATAATAGTAAAAAATACTGATAATTTGTGTTAAATTAAAACTTTTAATTTTGTTGGGCTAATTAATTGGGCCAATAAAAATGCAGAACACTAAACTACTAATAAATACTAGTACTAAATTTTTTTTTTGGGGCCCTTCATTTTTTCGGGCCCGGTGCGGTCGGATTGCTCACTCCCCTCAAGGGCCGGCCCTGCCTGCAACAAGCCCAAGCTCGTACGTCACATACATACAACAAACACCATCACGACATCCGATCCATTTTCAGCGTGATCAATGGGTGTGGTTTTGCCTCCACCCTTACCGCCAGCACTCAGTTAAAGCACATAAGCCTTAGAAGCTTAGTCCGCCTTTTCCCTTTCTGTGTGCTTCGCTGAGTAGGTTCAATGGCCTATTAACTAGAACTGCCTCCCGACTGATTTTTTCACATCTCCTTATTGGAAGAATTTAATGGTAAGCCTCCAGCACACATTTCCGCCATGCCTCTGCTTCATGACGGTAAGGTTCTTCTCCAACCATAAGACATATTGCGTTGTTGTCTCAATCGAGGAACCAAACATATTCTAGTAGCATGGGAAGGTTCACAGATCGAGAATGCTACTTAGGAGGACTTCACGCAGTGAGTTTACTCAACTTTACCCACACTTCAAGCTCGAGGACAAGCTTGCTATCCAAGAGGAGTGTATTATATTGATACGTTCCTTGGTAGGACCTATCAACGACGCAAACAAAAAAGAGGCCAGTGAAACATGTCGCAATTCAACGTTAGTTAAAATAATTAATATTTTCTCTTTAATTCGTGTGTGATAGTTTATAATAGTGAAAATTAGTTGTTGGTTACTCCCTCCGTCCCAGAAAATTCTTTACAGTTTGATTTGGCACGGAGATTAAGAAAATGGAATAAAGTGGAAATGTATGGTTGTGGGGTTGTGTAAGAAAAATGTGAAATGAATGTGAACCACACAAATTGTCCAAAAATGGTAAGTGGGAAGAATTTTTTGAGACGACCCAAAAAAAGAAAAGTGGGAAGAATTTTAGAAGGAATTACCCAAAAAACGGGAGTTTGGAGTCTGACATGCCAAAAAACGGGACTGACATTTAGGTTACCAAAAAACGGGAGTCGGATTCCCCAATTCCGACTGGAGACTAGGGTTGTGAAAAAATCCATAAGTACCTAGTCGGAATTGGAGAATCCGACTAGAGTAATTTTTTAAAAAAAAATCCCACTACCTAGTCGGAATTGGGGAATCCGACTAGGGTATTTTTTTTTTAAAAAAAAAATTGTATTCGTTCTTTTATAAATCGAGTCTAATTAAAAAAAAAATCTAACTGCCTAGTCGGATTCCCCAATTCCGACTAGGGTATTTTATTTTTAAAAAAAATTGCAATCCTAAATCGAGTCTAATTTATAAATGGTACTCTAATAAAAAAAATCAACTACCTAGTCGGAATTGGGGAATCCGACTAGGGTATTTTTTTTAAAAAAAAAATTGTATTCGTTCTTTTAATAAATCGAGTCTAATTTAAAAAAAAAAATCTAACTACCTAGTCGGATTCCCCAATTCCGACTAGGGTATTTTATTTTTAAAAAAAATTGCAATCCTAAATCGACTCTAATTTATAAATGGTACTCTAATTTAAAAAAAAAATCAAGTGCCTAGTCGGAATTGGGGAATCCGACTAGGGTATTATTTTTTAAAAAAAATTGTATTCCTTCGTTTAATAAATCGGCTCTAATTTTAAAAATTAGAGCCGATTCCAAAGATTCCAAAGACCGTGTATGGTATGAACCACTTCGTGCCCATCGTGCAGACCGTGTATGGTATGAACCAGATTCCAAAGACTCGTGCTTGAAATGCGTCAGTTGCCCTTCAGCTGCATTCGGATGTGAAGCGCGAGATGAAAGGGTGATAAATATGTTAGCATATGCTGGGTTCTTGGGGGTAGAGCACATTGCCCGTATGAAGGTGGATCATAGTTTAATATGTGCGTTGGTGGAGAGATGGAGGCCGGAGACACATACTTTCCATCTTCCATTCGGTGAGGTCGGCATTAGTCTACAAGATGTGGCGGTAATCCCTTGTTTGCCCATTCAGGGTATGCCCCTCAGTGGTCCAACCATTAGGGGTGAGGATCAGTGGATCGACCTGTGCACTCAGTCGTGTGGTTTCACTCCTCTACAGACTGATATGCGCACGAGTGATATCACTATGAGTGCTGTTACCCGTCACCGGATCCTAGATGACAGTACAGACGAAGAGGTCACCCAACACACCAGGACTCTAATATGGCAATTGCTTGGAGGGTTTTTGTTCTCTGACACGAGTGGGGCAAGAATACGATTGTACTTTTTGGAGGTCTTGCAGGGTGACTTGGCTTTAGCCCGTCGCTGGAGTTGGGGATCAGCGGTTCTCGGGTACCTCTACCATGACTTGTGCAACGGCGCGATGTGGGAAACCAAACAAGTTGGCGGTTGTATGCACTTGTTACAGATTTGGGCTTGGTCGAGCTTTTCGATGGTCCGTCCCTCAGCACTTCAGGTCATTCAACATGGCCATCTTCCATATGGGTGCAAGTATGTTGTCAATTACATCTTAATAATTGAGAATGCTTTACATTACGTTACATTTTTTAACTTCATATCGGTAATCAATAAATGTAGGTGGATCGTCCCCAAGTCGTATAAGGGATCCCCAAGACATTGCATACGCTTGTACCGGGATGACCTAGACCGCATGACTGAGAGTCAGGTAGTACATGAAATTTTTACTTCAACCGTACTATTCAGGCTTAAAATACATTATTTTTTCTAGTTTTTAAATTGCATGGTATGACACGTGTCCAGAACCCTTCTCACAATGTGCCCACGACAGGCTACACCCCGACAGCACACGATTGGGGTATTGTGGTAAGTTTTTGAATACATACCATATTCGCTACCATATATCGTGTCATATTATTTACACGTGTTACATTTTTTTGTAGAAGCAAGGCGTTCACGAGGTGTATCAGCTCTTAGCCGACCGCGCGAGTTATGAGGATTGTCAAAAACGACTACGGCAGATGGCCCTGAATGTAGGTGATGAAGATATGCTCCACCAGGGCATATTCCACTATGAAGATGAAGATGCAGGTGGAAGTGACGAAGAGGATGATTCAGATGAACGTGAAGATGGGGGTGAGGACTCACAAGCGCCCCCTCAATTCTCAACACAGGGTGTCTCATTTGATCAACCACCCCCTCAATTCTCAACGCATCAAGGTGGCTCATTTGATCAACCACCGCCGTATTATGATTCTTATCAGCTGTCCACACAACCGGATGATTATGTTGAGTCATTTCTGAATTCGCCTTTTTACTATGGAGACACAACGGGGCCTTGGAACACTGGCGGTGGGGACGGAGCAGGGTCGAGCACGCTAAATTAGATGTAGTATTAAATTTAATATTGTATGTACTGTCTATTCATTAATAAATTACATTGAAAACTACATTTGTTTTGTTCACTTCCATTAAAATTACAAAAAAAAAATCACTTAAAACAAAATCAAATTTTTATCTAATTAGACGAATGGAGTAAATCAAAATTGCACTTAAAATTACAAAAATTGCAATTAAAACTAAATTCACAATACAAATGGATTAAAAAACCATTTAAAGCAATCAATTGTTTTCTTAGTAAAAAAATCATAATGCTAAGTTTTCATGTTAAAAAATATGTCATGAATCTAAAAGAAATTTTAAATTTGGAATTGATATAATTTAGCCCTAACATTTTTATTTTTTACAAACTCAAATTCAAAAACAAATTTCGGAAAAAAAAAAATTAAACCTAGTCGGAACTCCCTAATCCGACTAGGGGGGGAAGAATTTTTTTTATCCCTAAAACCTAGTGGGAACACCCAGTTCCGACTCCCCCTTTTTGGTAAACCCTAAAAAAATCCCCGTTTTTTGGCAACCCCAACCCCCTTTTCCCCCTTTTTGGTAAATCGCCCAGAATTTTATGGGACCGAGGGAGTATTTATTACTAAAGTGTTTCATGTACATATTTGGAGTTTAAGATCATGAATTCACTTTCCTCATTTTTAGGAATTGTTGTGACTTCCTATGTAGGGGTGGGATCGATCCGGTCTGGGTCGGGTTTTTGCTAAACCCGGAAATTACCCGGAAGGTCTCGGGTTATGAAAATTAGGGACCGGAACAAAGCCCATTATATTCGGTCCGAGTCGGGTTTTTGGTAGCCCGGGTTCGGGTTGGGCAGGTTAAAGCCCGAACGTGAAATATCTCATTGTTCTTTTATATTTTAACACCTACTTTCAAATAAAATTAATAAAAAATACAAACCGCAAATAATAACACAAATATTAGTCTCCAAAATCACCAACAATTCAAATCCAAAAAGATAATTATCTTAAAATAAATAAATAATATTGGTTTCTTAAAAATATGACAAAATAAAATTTATAGACAAAAATGTGACTAGAGTTTCTATAAATATATTTTCATGGTCATTACGCTAAACAAATTGAACACATTTGTAGCCACTAAAAGTTACTACCTCCGTCCCTTAAAAATTTGCCAAAGTTGACCGGCACGGAGAATAATAAAGTAAAAAGTGTGTTGTTGAGTTTTGTGGAGAGGAAAGAGAAATAACAGAAATCACAAAATATTGATTAAAAGGGAAAGTGGCAAAGTTTTTAGGGACGTCCCAAAAAGGAAAGATGACAAAGTTTTAAGGGGCGGAGGAAGTACTAAATGATTTATTTATCCACCGTGATTATAATCATATATTAGAAAATATTTATAAATTTATATTCATATATTATATTAATTTTATATTAAATCTAATTGTTTCGGGTTTTATCGGTCCGGGCCGGGTTATAGATTTTAAGGCCCGTTAATGAGCCCAGAATTTCGGGTTCAGTCTGGTTTTTTTTAATTCGGGCCGGTTAAAAAGAAAAAACCCGGACCGGGATAATAATCCGGGTCGGTCCAGGGCCGGTTTCTGGGTTTCGGTTCGATTTTCCCCACCCCTATTCCTATGTGTATTTAAGAGAAGTATGATTTGAATAAAAATATATCACAAAATTGCCCAAATACACTCATATAGAGCCCGTTTGGTAGCACGAAAATCGGCTGATTTGGCTGTTTCTGCTGAAATTTCTGAAGTTCTGGCTAAAGTGGCTGCATTGGCTAATTTAAGAAAAAATTATTTTAAAAATATATTTTATTAATAAAATAATGAAAAAATTATATGTAAAAATAGCTAAAATGGTCATCAACAGTAACTTCAGCCAATACAGCCAGAAAAGTAACTCCAACCTTACTTTTTCTTCTTATTACACAATTCAGCGCGCAAAAGCAAAAGTTACGTGTTTGGTAAAAAAGTTGGTTGATAAGCCTGATAAGCCGAAAAACAGTGGTTCCAAACGGCCTAATAGTTTAGCCACAGAGTTTGGAGAGCTCAACAACACTCCTATTGTCATTATTATTTGAGAAAAAAGTCAAATAGACCATTCTACTATTTCAAATTCATCACCTGATGACCTGAGTACCCGACTAAAAAGAGTATCATATAATTGATAGAGATGGACCCGGGCCGGGTCGGGCCTGGGCCGGGTCAAGGCCCGGTCGGGCCTCGGGTCTTATAATGGTAGGCCCGGGACCGGCCCGGTCAATGACCAGTTCCGCTTCGGGCCGGGCCACCCGCCCGGGTCACGGGTCGGGCCACCCGCCGGGCCGGGCCGGGCCAGTATATTTTTTTTATATTTAATTATATACTCGTATTATACAAATTGCTATTAAAAACAAAGTTCAAGTGCATTTATTTGAAATAAGAACTACATTTGAGAATTGAGAAAAAAATAACAATACGAAATACATTTTCTAATGAATATCAATTGGGATTTCCGCCACCGTTGGTTGTTGTTTTCCCTTTGTCACAGGACTTCATATATTTTATTGGCATCCCGTATCCGTATGAACGCCCCAAGCAACACTCTTTCTTGCACCACCTGCAAGTTGCCCACCACAGTCTGGTCTTCGGGTCCTTCCACTTGTCAAAATTGTTTTGCATAATGGAAGATGTACTTTCCATATTTAAAATGGTATATGTATAAGTCGGAATGTAGGATAATAAGAGAAGATGAAGATGGAGAAGAGTTTGAGAAGAATTGGAGAAGAGGTGTAGAAAAATGTTAGAAAATAGATGTATTTATAGATGTTTTTGAACCTCACTCCCCACACCACCACCCCCGGGACCCCCCTGCCCCACACCCATAGACCCAACGGCTATATAGCCGTTTGGGAGGTTTGATTTAATTTTTTTTTTTAAGTTATACACATATTGTAAAATAAATTAATTAATTTAATGAATTAAGTAAAACTAAAACTATATTTTTTTTTTTTACCCCGGAATGGCAAACCACCAAAATCAGTGGGGCAGATGCCGGGGGTCATATGCCATTATATTATTAGAATCCAAAAGAGTACATCAATTTGGGGGGGGGCTAGACCTAACCCAAAAATACAAAAGAACAACAATTTAAGAACGAAATCTAGGAATACCAAACAAATCAGCATAGTAACTCATCTTCACTCTAACAGGTAAAGATGCTACCTGGTCAAATCTAACACAAAGGGCTTGGGAAATTGGATGGGCTGCTAAGAGATGAGCAGGCCCGTTCCCCTCCCTAAGAACATGTCCAAAAATAAAGCCCCGGTCAGAAGCCTTTTGTCTGAATTCTATCAGCCCAGCGTGGTTGCTTGTTTCATTCTGTAGCAAAGACAAGCATCGAACCGCATCGACCTCCACCTGGATGTCAACATATCCTTCCGCCATGGCCATATCCGAAGCTTGCAACATCGCTCTCATCTCCGCTTCCTCACTCGAATTAGCTTTCAACTGGAAAGAAACCGCCCAAACCAATTCACCATTTTTATTCCACAAAATAGCACCTCCCTGAGCAGATCCTGGTACATACGCTGCATCGACATTTAACTTGTAAGTTTTATTCTTTGGCCTTGTCCACTTAATCATCTGAATACCCGCAGCGTTAAACCTGAAATTTTCCAAAATCAATCCCCCCTGGATGAGAAAATCATCAATCGGTTTCGGCTTAGTTTTGGCAAGTTTACATGCCCAACTCTGAGTGTAGCATTTAATCTGACTTATTAGGTTATCCGGGCTAGGAATTGTATTGGATCCCCACACATATGCTGCATAAGTCTTCCAAAGATGCCAACTGATTATACCTCGCAAGTTGTGCTTGAAAACATCAGATATCCTTTTAGACCCCGCATCGATCCACCAATGTATTAAGACATGTCTAACAGAAGTCGGTCTTGTAACATTGATACCAAACATTCCCATAAAGTGATTCCAAATTTTTTTAGAGTAAGAGCAGCCCCATATAATATGAAAAGAAGATTCAGAAGTTTCCACATGAAGAGCTTGACTGTCATGTGTTGCAGTTTATGCCAATTATGCTTATCAGTGAAAGTTGTAGACCTGGAAGCTCTGACTTCGTGATAGGCAGATGATAAAGAGAACATACCGCTTCAGCCTCGTCTCATAGCCGCTTCAAAGTAAAACTAAAACTATTTGTACTTAGAAAAGTGGTTTGATTTATAATTTACAAATGTTACAAAATAGGTGTATAAGTATTTAAACAAATTACATATTGTAAATGTATTTTTAATTTAAAAACCGGCTTTATATTTTAGAAAAATAATTTTAAGTCGTTAGATTGTAACCAATTAATTAATTTGAGAAGTGCTACATATGAAAAAGTGAACACATATTTATTTGAAATATGAAGTACAAGTTTACAAATTAATTTGAAGTACAACTACAAATTTACAATTTTGAAATATGAAGTACAAGTTTACAATTTTGAAATATGAAG